TGGGTCATAAGCGGGTCGGTTTATAAACGATTCGGATTATGTCGGTTCGGTTTGATACGGGTCGGTTTAAGGGGCGGGTTTACCCGGGTCAATGTCAGTTCGGTTTACAAACGGTTTGGATCAAGCCGGTTTGGTTTGAAATGGGTCGGTTTAGGGGCGGATTTACCCGGATCAATATCGGTTCGGTTTATAAACGGTGCGAATCATGTCGGCTCAGTTTTAAATGGGCCGGTTTAGTAGAGGGTTTACACAGTTCAATTGGTTCGGTTTATGAACGGTTTGGATCATGTCGGTTCGGTTTATAAGCGGTTTGGGTCATGAATTGAATTCATGATTGTTTTAAAGATCGCGTCATGACCATGATTTAATGAGTTGATACTTATAATACGATAAATCGATAATTAGAATGTACAAATATTCAATTAGATTGATCAACAAGTGTTTTAAACTTTTAAGTTTTAATAATCAGATATGTAAATATGTTTATCGATTGTAGATTTGTAGTACATACCAATAATTCAATGAGGCAATGATACTTATGATAGTATGATAATGATACCAACCATACATTCGTACGATATGATATACATAATAATTAATCTATAATTACATATACATTAACAATATCGTATTGAATCAATTTCCATTTCCAAACATTGCATTTCTTATAAATTATAACTTACACGAGATTAAATGGATTCGTTATTTAGTTTGTTACTTTATTTAGATTACTAACTCAAACAACTTAAAAAGTTAAATGGACGAAATCACGAAATCATGACCATGATTTAATGAGTTGATACTTATAATACGATAAATCGATAATTAAGAATGTACAAGTATTCAATTAGATTGATCAACAAGTGTTTTAAACTTTTAAGTTTTAATGATCAGATATGTAAATAACTAAATATGTTTATCGATTATAGTACATACCAATAATTCAATGAGACAATGATACTTATGATAGTATGATAATGATACCAACCGTACATTCGTACGATATGATATACATCATATACATAATAATATAATTACATATACATTAACAATATCGTATTGAATCAATTTCCATTTCCAAACATTGCATTTCTTATAAATTATAACTTACACGAGATTAAATGGATTCGTTATTTAGTTTGTTACTTTATTTAGATTACTAACTCAAACAACTTAATAAGTTAAATGGACGAAATCACGAAATCACTAATTAAAGTGGTGATGAAAGCATTATGCAATACTAATGTACGAATAGTCAAATATACAACGGTTAGATTGAATGCCCATGAAAAACAATGGTTAGATTTTCATTACTTTATTAGTTATTAGTATTATTACTTATTAAGTTATTATTAGTTTTATAGTTTATTATATATACTGATATACAATCACAGACTCACAGATGTCAGATATTGTCATATTGATGAGCATTAAGCCATTAACTCATTAAGTCATTAACTATGTCGTATTGAATCAATTTCAATTTTGAAACATTTGCGTTTCTTACAATTTATAACTTATAAGTAATAAACTAATAATAATAATAATAATAATAATAATAATAATAATAGTAATAATAATAATTATTATTATAATAATATTATAATAATAGTAGTAGTAAACTAGTAGTAATAATAATATTAACAAATAATTATACTAACAATAATAATAATAATAAATAATTAAAAAAACGGTCAAAAAGACCTAGAAAAGCACAAAGAAAATCTAGACCGTTAGATCTAGATGAATATTCTAGAATCTACAAAAAAAAAAAAATGAACGGTTATATCTAACTTAGATGTTGAGATTGAATATGGACGGTTAGATCAACTGAAGTAAAACCTAAACCTAGAAAAAAAAACCCACTCTCACTCTCTCAGCCATTCTCATTCACTCATTCAGCCGTTTCTCTCTCAATCTCACAATCTGTCATAGTTTCTCTCTCTAACTTCTCAGTTTCTCACTCTTTCGTTCTGAAATTATCAAGAATCTCAAGCTCAATTTCGTTTCATTTGTGTTTTGGATCTACATTTCTGATTTCTAGCTTTACATTCTCGTTTTTTTTGTTAATTTTTGTTGTTTTCGTTTTGATTTTTTTCGTTTTTGTTCCGGTTTGTTTATTTAGGGTTTTTGTTTTCGTTTCATTTGTGTTTTGGATCTACATTTCTGATTTCTCGCTTTACATTCTCGTTTTTTTGTTAATTTTTGTTGTTTTCGTTTTGATTTTTTTCGTTTTTGTTTCGGTTTGTTTATTTAGGGTTTTTGTTTTCGTTTCATTTTTGTTTTGGATCTAAGTTCTGATTTCTGATTTCTGATTTCAAATCTTCCTCTCCTTCAAGCCGTCAAACCCTAAGGTAATTTTTTTGTTAATTTATTCGATTTTTTTCGTTTTCGTTTCGGTTTTTTAATTTATTTCAAGTTCTGATAATCTACATTCTTGATTTTTTCTTTTGATCTCCAGTTCAGGTAGTTCTCCATCTTCAAATCTCCTTCAAGCTGTCAAAGGTAATTACTTTTTCCTTTTTTTTTTTTTTTAATACAGTTTTTCTGTTTTTGTATTTGATTATTGTTGTTGTTCTTGCTTGAATATAGTCGAAATATGCCTAAAATGAGTAAAATCTGTTGTTGATTGTATTTTTGTTTTTTACGGGAAAATGGTAGATTTGTGCTGTTTTGTTGTTTATTATGCTCGATTTAAAAGTAATGATGATGGGTTGTTCAGATTATGTGATTATTATTGTTGGAATACATGCATTGTTTATTTATTGGGATTTTAGCTTTATATTTTTAACCCATATTGTTGGAATACAAGCATTGTATATGATTGGCTTAAAGTTAGTACTTAAAATGTACACATATGTGACTGTATCGTATATAACTTTCTATATTCTGTTAGGATATATGTTGTAATCACGTTTGTTGTATAATTCTGAATTTTGAAACATTGACTAGTGCAAATAAAATTCTGAAATATGAACTATCTATTTAGTTGAATTTTGGTATTGAGTGAATAGGATTCACTGTCGTGACTTCAGTGTCAGTCACATGAGACAATGCATGCTTAATTGCTCACTATTAGTAGAATCTGTCACTTAATTTGGTACTTATAAGTTATAAATGTTGTTTTTTTTTGTTTCAGTCATGTCTCGCGAGTATGATGAATTTGACTATGAGAGGCAATCAAATTTTGATACTGTTAGCTCTCAAGCTGCCTCTGTCTCGGTTGATGATGCTAGTAATACCGGCACTATCAATCCTTCTGTTAATAAACGTCAAAGAACCGCAGGTATATGGAAGCATTACACTTTTTTTGTAAAGACGATAGGTAATGAAAATGTTGATTATGCTCGTTGTAATTTGTGTGGCAAAGAATATAAAGCACCTGGTAAAGCGGGTACTTCAACTTGTAAATCTGAGAGAAATTTTAAAAAAAACAAAAGCTATAATTTTGAAGTTGCTTGAACTTGTTATGAGCTGCTGCCTGCTGGTAGTGCTTTTGCCTTTTGGTTGTTGTCTCTGCTGAGTTGTTATTGCCTATATTGTTGCCTGCATGAGCTGGTTCCTGCCTCCTGCCAGCTTGAGGTGCTGTGTTGCTGCCTTTTGTGTTATGAATTTATGATAAGTTTTGTTGCTGCTGTTTCTTATGCTTGCTGTTTTAATTTTTCTTGAATCATCGCTGCCCTTGTCATTTATGTTGAGACTTCAATGTATATGTACTTGCTGGCAGCATTTTTCAAGTTTTAAGTTAAAACAGCCATTGCTCAGTGATGATACGAGAAACGTAAATCTGAGAGCAATTTTGAAAAACAAAAATAAGTTCCTGCTGAGTCCCTTCTGCTTATATTATTCCTTGCTTCGGATAAGTTGCTGATCTGTTATTGCGTGTGCTGGTTCCTGCTTGTTGCTGCTATTTCCTCTGCTCTTGGGTGCTGGGCTGCTGCTTCAAGATTCTGCTTCAAGATTCTGCTCCCAAATCACTCACATTCTCACTCCTCCCTTCATCTTATCATGTATCATTTTTTGCAACCCTAAACTTGATGATGTTTCAGTTGGTAAATCTGAAATCTAATCTGGGTAGTAGTGATAGTAGTTTCATTATGTATTGGTATATGTATTGTGAATTTTAATCAATGAAAATGGTGACTTTTTTTAATTGCTTGTTGATATTACTCTAATTTTAATGTTATTTATCTCCAATCTTATGTTATCTTATTGGATGATCATGAATATCAAGGAACAATGAAGATAATTTGGGTGGACTTTATTACTGGAATGAAAAGATATAAATGATATATCTTGTAATTAAAATAAATAAGTAATCTAAAACGATATTAATAATGTCGTTGGCCTAGATCTAGGTGATATAAACCTTTGTATAAACCTAAGCCGTTTGATTAGATCTACATTTATTAACATTAATTATTTAATTGTATTTACTATTTAGCCATTTAGGTTGTAAATAATTCAATTTGAATTAAGCAGTTTGTAATTGGATAAGTTTAAACAGGTTGCGATTCGAAAACAGTTCGATTTTAACGGTTTAACGGGTTATGGCAGTTCTGTTTAGACGGTTAGCGGATTATAACGGTTCGGTTTATACGTGCGGTTTAAACGGTTTCGGTTCATAAACGGGTCGGTTTAAACGGTTAGCGGGTTACAAATGGTTCGGTTTAAACGGTTTTTTTTTTCGGTTTAAACGGTTTCGGTTTATAAACGGTTCGGGTCATTAACGGGTTTATAAACCATTCGGTTCGGTTTCGTTTCGGTTCGGATTTGCGCAGTTTGGTTTGTTATCGGTTTACGGTCCGTAACGGGTTGACATTGAGCGGTTCAATTCGGTTTCGGTTTGATATTGAACGGTTCAGTTCGGTTTTCGGTTTACATTTATCGGTTTATAAACGGATCGGTCCGTGATGGTTCGGTTCGGTAACGGGCGGTTTCACGGTTCGGTTTGAAAAGTCCCACCCCTGCCCAAAATAGAAGTCATTTTTGATGATTTTGGATGGTTGGATGGCAACCTTGCCAGCACCAGAATCATGTGTGGAGATATGAATACGTTCTAAAAGACCTTATAATAAGAGACCAACTATTACAGAAATTAGCAGTAGCAGCGATCTTCCTCCTTGGCTGTTGATTTGGCATTATGAGGAGCAAATCTGGTATTTCGCTCAGAAATTATCTTCATCTTTCTTCTCTTTTCCATTTTAATGGTGGATCTTCTTCACGTAAGCTTCTTCATCTCTCTCCTCTTTTCATTTTCAATTTCAATTTCAGTTCCTCTCTTTTGAATTCCCCCCCTTTTTACTTTCCATCTATTCTATTTTCTTCCCGATATTACGCTTCTCATTCTGTTCATCTTCATTTGGATGACCCCAAATTGTTTCTCAAATTTGTTAGACAACAATCCAAATTAGGGTTTACTAATGCTGAAATCCCCCTTTCCCATTTCCACCATATGAAATCGATGCGACCTCTTCCATCTATCATTGATTTCTGCATGTCCAGTTATTACCTCAGGCTCTCCTCCTTTTCAAGGAGATGAAAATCAAGGGAATTTCCCCTAATGTTATCACCTATACTACCTTAATTCGAGGTATGTGCACTTTGGGACAGCAGAAAGAGGCTCAACAAATGCTGACTGAGATGTTAAGGAACAACATAACTCCTGACATTCAGACCTACAACATGTTGATTGATATGTATTGTAAAGATGGCAAGGTTGGTCAAGCACGGGACATTTTTGTTCACATGACTGAGAGAGGATTTGTTCCCAATATCATCACTTACAATGCTCTGTTAGATGGATACTGTTTACGTTGTGAGATGGATGAGGCAAAAAAACTTATGGATTTGATGGTTGAAAATGGTTGCAAACCTAATGTAGTTACTTACAGCAGCTTAATCAATGGCTATTGCAAGTCTAAAAAGATTGACAAAGCTCTTGGTCTGCTCCAAGAGATCCATTTTAACGGATTAGCCCCTGATGTTATCACGTACAACACTCTTATAGATGCTTTGTGCAAAGACAATCAGCTCAAGCTTGCACACCAGTATTTCAAGGAAATGGAAGCTCATGGACTAAAGCCAAATGTAATAACTTGGAATTCATTCCTTGACGGCATGTGTAGGAATGCACAAATAGATAAGGCAGTTGCAACAGTGAAGGAAATGGAGAATACTGGAATGGTCCCTGATATTGTTACATATTGTACCCTAATGGATGGTCTGTGTGAAGCTAATCGCCTTAGTGAAGCGATACACATCTTCTCCTTTCTCACAGCTAAAGGGCTGCATGATGTGCGTGCATACACCATAATTATAAAAGGGTTTTGTAAAGAAGGGTTGCTAGCAAAAGCCGATGAATTATTGAAGAATATGGAGGACAATAAATGCTTTCCAAATGAATGCACCTTCAATACAATTATTAGAGGATTTATAGATGGAAAGGATGCTAAGAGAGCTTTAGAGCTTGTCAGCTTAATGAGAAACAAAGAGTTTGCTGCTGATAATCACACTATATCATCATTGGTGAGCTTACTCACTGATCCTAATATTGGTGATGCAGACAAGGATTTGCTGAAAAAGTTTTTTGAGAACTGAGTGAACGATGGTTAAAGCGGAGGTGGAAGGAGCGTTGAGTTAAGCATAGATGATCAGCTGTGAAAGAGATGTGAAAATAGACATCGTGAGTGAAAATTGTAAATTGGTAAGTCATATATTTAATGTTCAACTTGATTGATGATTGTTGGAAAAAACCTTATTATCTGTGATTTGTAACATTTGTATTTACTTTTTTTTGGGCTTGCTTTTACTTGAATGGTGCTCATAGAAGCAAATGTGGACTGCGTGTGTTTACTTGCTATCTGTCAGTGAGTTGCATTTGTTTTCTTATTAGCCTTTGGATATTATTGGAGCCAGGGCTCAAGTTTAGCTATATCTTACTTACTAAGCCATGATACAACCATGGCAGGTACTAGGTTCAAGAACAGGGCATTTAAGGTCAATAACACCAGTCGTGTCAACTTTGCTAAGGGTATAATTTTACTATTTTACAAGTAGGTTAATTCCGTATTATACAATGAAATTATTGCGCACAAGGATCTACTCGTAGTTAGTTTTAATCCATTCACTTGCGATGTGTTGATTGAATTTCCTTGGGTGTGTTTCAGCTTTCTGCAGAATAACTACCCATTGTGATTTCAGTGTCATTGAAGATTTTGCTTCTTTGGGGGGGGGGGGGGCACTAGGAACTTGCTGAACTAAACTCATGTTTTGATCACATTGCATAGTTATAAGTTCAAATTATGTCACTTTGACCTGGTCTTCTTTTGTTATTTTCTTCTCTTTTTTCCACTATGATAAATAGAAGAAGAAAAGAAGCAAAAGGGGTCAAAACCCTCAGGTTTAGAGATCAATCAAAGCTGGTTAAGCTTGCGATTTCAGATACATCCAACCAGCCCGGCTTTTAGAACATGTCATTCAATCTCATTGTATTGTATTGGAACTTTAATACGGATTATATACATACAGTCAGTGGAGTATATTTTTTTCGATGAATTGACTTGTTTACAGATTTTAGTTTGTTCTTTCGCAATCTAAAAAAGCGTTGGTGTTCTATTATAATTGAACATACACACACAACTGGCATGAAAAATGAGGCATCAACAGTTGGTCTCCCACTCTCCTGGTATGTTTGTTCTATCAGGATATTCTATTAGTTTTATTTAATTTCCTTTGGTTTTGCCATGTTATAACTATAAGGAGTATTTAAACATATGGAATTTTTGGTTTTCCTAAAAGCAGTCCAAACCAATCTGGTTTGGGGTTTTAAACTGGATTTTTTGGTCTTAAATTGCAATCAGTTTTCAGCGGTTCGATCGTGGACTAATGGATTTTTTGGTATTAAATTTCAATCAGTTTTAAACTGGATTAATACCTGTAACTCTTTTTATGTGTTGAGTTAACCAAGATGAAAAAATTATTTATGTATTGAGTCCCTCTGTAAGAAGAAAACGTGGTCGATTCAACACTTAATCAGTTAATCCTTATTCAACTACTTGTTAGGCCCGGGCGATGCCCCGAGTTATTACATATATAATAATAATTGCATATAAAGTTCATGATTCAATTCTACTCCTATTGATTTATTACATGTCATTTATTTATTTTATTTGTAATAAAAGACACGAGCTATGGTATTTGTTCAATGGTTGACCTTCTAATCTCAAGCCTTAAGACTAAGGCTTCAATTCTTATAAAAGTCATGTTTCTATTTTTATAATGTGTGATAATATGGAATGATGACCAAAAAAATAGGTTGAGATAGTGGTGTGAACTTGTTTCGAAACACTTTTTAATATATATTTATATAGATATATATTGGCGGAAGAAATTTTAGATGTATCCTATTTGGAGTCAGTTACTATTCATCTTTCATAACAAATAATGAACATAACACAACTAAAATTTTTTCTTCTCCCCTCTATTTTCCCCTTATTACACAGCTAACAAAAGAATTTGAATCAAGCTCTTTGATATTTTTAGTTAATGCAGAAATGGAAGGTAAGGCAAAAAGCTCCTTTATAAAAGACTACGGCTAGTTGAAGCAAAATTGTTTACATATTTTGTAAATGGATACTATTGAAAACTCGAAGAAAAAAAAAAAAAGTTGTTTTTAAGTGAAAAGCAATTAAAGATTATTTTTTACGGATTTTTCACCGTATACCACTGAGTTATTTCGTAATTCACCATATACCACACAAAACGATTTTTTCACGGATTTTTCACCGTATACTACTGAGTTATTGCAAGTCTAAAAAGATTGACAAAGCTCTTGGTCTGCTCCAAGAGATGCATTTTAATGGATTAGCCCCTAATGTTATCACGTACAGCACTCTTATAGATGCCTTGTGCAAAGACAATCAACTCAAGCTTGCACACCAGTTTTTCGAGGATATGGAAGCTCATGGACTGAAACCAGATATAATAACTTGGAATTCATTCCTTGACGGCATGCGTAGGAATGCACAAATAGATAAGGCAGTTGCAACAGTGAAGGAAATGGAGAGCACTGGAATGGTCCCTAATATTATTACATACAGTATCCTAATGGATGGTTTCTGTGAAGCTAATCGCCTTAGAGAAGCGATGGACATCTTCTCCTTTCTCACAGCTAAAGGGCTGCATGATGTGCGTGCTTACACCATAATGATAAAAGGGTTTTGTAAAGAAGGGTTGCTAGCAAAAGCTGATGAATTATTGAAGAATATGGAGGACAATGGATGCTTTCCAGATGAATGCACCTTTAATACAATTATTAGAGGATTTATAGATGGAAAGGATGTTGGGAGAGCTTTAGAGCTTGTCAGGTTAATGAGAAGCAAAGGGTTTGTTGCTGATAATCACACTATATCATCATTTGTGAGCTTACTCAGTGATCCAAATATTGGTGGTGCAGTTAAGGAATTGCTGAAACAGGTGAACGCTGAGCAAGCGATAATTAAGAGCAAAGGTGGAAGGAGGAATGACTTAAGCATATATGATCAGCTGTGACAGAGATGTGTAAACAGATATCATAAGTGAACTTGTGAATCAGTAAGTCATATGTTTAATGTATTTGATGGATTGTAGGCAAAAACTTAATGCCTGTGTTTTTGAAATTGGAATGTACATGTATGAAGCAAATGTGGATTAACCTGTTAATTTTGTATATGTTGTGTTTGCTTTTGATCTGCCAGGGAGTTGCATTTGTTTTCTTATTGATTGCAATTGTATTTAATGGAGCCAGAGCTCAACTAAAGCAATATTTTGATTGATCCATTCACTTGAGATACATAATTTGAATTCCTGAGCCGTGTTTTAGTTTTCTGTAGAATAACAAACCATTGAAATCAGTGTCATTCTAATATGATTTTGCTTCTTCAGGGCACTAGGATGTAGCTGAACTGAACCCACGTTTTGGTCACATATCATAGTTTTAAGCCCGGAATCAAATCATTTTAATCTGCTGTCTTTTGTATATTTCTCCTTTTTTTTCCATTCTGGAGAAAAAGAAAAGAATCAAATGGTGTGAAAAATATCAGGTTTAGAGATCAGTTGGAGCTGGTTAAGCTGCGATCACAAGTTTCTAGTTCGAAACATTAAACACATGCTTAGCCAGGAGAAAAAAGATATTAAGCAAGTGAGATACTGATGTAATGTGCAACAAGCCTGAAAAAGAAAATATGGTTTCATTGAAGCTTTCGTTTCTTTATGGGGACACTTGCATCTTGTTGAACTGAAATCATGAACATAGTAGCAGCTTACGGATATTAGCTTCCTGGTAACATTGCTCCTTTCCTCTTGTAGTGGAGTCTCTTTCATTACCGTTTCAACATATCCATATATTCTTGTGTTTGTAACAATGCTTCAATTTGGTTGTCATCTTCCAGTTTCTTGTCATCTTCATTTACTAATAAACTCCACCATTGAACCTGGAAAAAAGACATTCACATGCACCACTAGTTAACAATGCAAAATTGAACCCAAAAATATTCTGGTATTACAAATGTACTCTCAGAACTATATTTCTTCAAACAAGGAAATGAAGCCATATTTTTACCATGATTTTGGATATACCTGCCTTGTGCTATTATCTGTTCATACCCTTGATAGGCTTGATTTTGCAGCTGCAGCATAATGATAAACATTTGTGGGTGGAATACTGTTATACTGCCCATTGAAAGATTGCTTCCATCTAGAGTATGGTCGAATCCAATTACATTAGAATCCCAACCTGGTGGTGGTAGTAGCGGTGGTGGTTGTGGCTGGGGTTGTTGTCCTTGAATTGGTAGGGGTATTAATTTTTTGATGCTTGCTTTGGTTTGCATTTCTTATTTTAGCACCTGAACAAAGGAAAAATTCACAAATTATCATAAAATGAAGGAAACGGAAAAAAAACTAAAGGCAAAACACTTCTTAACAGTTACCTTAAAGCTGAAGTCTCAATATTTATGTAAGCACTACTACTGCTACTCCTGATGCTCCTCCTACTACTACTACTAGTACTAGGGGTGAGCATGGGACGGGTACCCGTACTACTAACACTATCGGTTCGGGTTTCCAATAACCAATAACACTAAAAATGATATCCATTACCCGAATCAATAAGTTCGGGTACACGAACTTCGGGTACCCGGATTTTCGGTTCGGTTATCGGGTACCCAATATGATATCCAATAATAAAAATTTAGACTTTATAATATAGTTATTATGATATCATTCAACACTAATCAACAATAATACCACGTGATCATGACCAAATTACTAATAATTTCTAATCATTTAAATTATGAAGTGATTACGAAGTAAAGTAAGAGTTTAGATTTTGGATAAATAGATTTAAATAGGAAAAAAAAGAAAAAATTGCTTATCGGAACGGATCGGGTAACCGTTAATTTTAAAATGATACCCAATAACCGTACCCGATAACAAATTATCGGATCGGGTACCCGAACCGTTATGGTTATCGAAACGGGTACCCTAATTTTTGGTTCGGTTACGGTTCAGATTTTTGGGTTTTTGGTTTTTCGGATAATTTTGCTCAGCCTGCTACTGCTGCTACTGCCTACTGCTACTACTACTGCTGCTACTACTGCTACTGCCTACTGCTACTACTGCTACTACTACTGCTGCTACTACTGCTACTGCCTACTGCTACTGCTGCTACTACTGCTACTACTACTGCTGCTACTGCTGCTACTGCTACTGCTGCTACTACTGCTACTACTACTGCTGCTACTACTGCTACTACTGCTACTACTGCTACTGCTACTACTGCTGCTGCTGCTACTGCTGCTACTGCTGCTACTGCTTCTACTGCTACTGCTACTACTACTACTGCAACTGCTACTGCTACTGCTACTGCTACTGCTACTGCTACTGCTACTGCTACTGCTACTGCTACTGCTACTGCTACTGCTGCTACCACTATTACTGCTACTACTGTTACTGCTACTACTATTACTGCTACTGCTACTACTGCTAATATTATTACTGCTACTGCTACTACTACTGCTGCTGCTACTACTGCTGCTGCTACTACTGCTACTGCTACTACTAGTACTGCTGCTACTGCTAATGCTGCTATTACTGCTACTGCTACTACTGCTAATATTATTACTGCTACTACTGGTAATATTATCACTGCTACTGCTACTACTACTACTACTACTACTACTACTACTACTACTACTCCTACTGCTGCTACTACTGCTACTCCTACTACTCCAACTGCTACTGCTACTACTACTACTAATATTATTACTGCTACTGCTACTATTGATACTACAACTACTACTACTAATATTATTAATATTATTATTATCACTATTATTATTATCGCATTATTATTGTAATTATTAAATATTATTATCAAATATTAATTATTAGTATTATTATAATAACAATTATTAAATCTTAATTATTAATTATTATTATTATTATTAAATATTAATTATTTATTATTAGTAAATAATAATAATTTATTATTATTATTATTATAATTAAAAATTAATAATTATTATCTTTAAATAATAATAATTTATTATTATTATTATTAATATATTATATTATTATTATTATTATTATTATTCTTATTATTTTTGTTATTAATAATAATAATAATAATTATTATTATCATTATTATTATTACTATTTTTATTACTATTACTATTATTATTATTATTAAATATTAAATATTAATTATTATTATTATAATTATTAAATATTAATTATTTATTATTAATATTATTAAATATTAATTAGGAAAAATTGCATTAAATAATACCACCTTTCACAGTCCGCTAAAAACAAGTCGACCTTTTGATTATCTCTAAATAATACCACCTTTGGGGGGTGTCTGTTTTAAACAAGTTATTTTACCTACAACCTAAATAACCGGATAAATTTTTTATTTTTTCTAATAAATTTATTTATTAATGTAATTAACTCTTAATAACAACTTTAATTATGATTTATTAACAATTAAATCAAAAAACAAAATAAAAAACAATTAAAAAAACAAAAAAAAGAATCAGCACCCTCCTCCTTCCCCTGCCACCCACCACTCCCTTAGACCCTTACTTACCCACCTCCTTTTGCTGGACTTTTAATTATTTTTTTCACCTTCTCTCCTCCTCCTTACCCATGTCAATGCAGCCAACCCCACCACCCCTTAAACAACCCCCATCCCCACCACCATTGTAACATTTCGGTGGCCCCCTCTCCTCATCCCCACCACTAGAATCGCCCCCTCACCTTTTCGACCACCACTGTCCACCCCACCCCCATCCCTAGCCTCACCGCCCCCTCCCCAAAACCCACCCCGACAGCCCTTCTTCCCAGAACCAAGCCCTGAAACTGCCTGCTGTTCCCCCTTCGAAAGCCCTTCCCTGAAACCCACCCTGAAAACCCCCCTTTCCAAAACCCAGCCCGAAACCGCCCTAAAAATCCCCTTCTCGAAACCAGCCCCGAAACCAACCCTGAAAACCCCACCACCCTTCCCGAAACCGCCCAGAAACCCCTCATTCCCGAAACCAGCCTCGAAACCTAACCTGAAAACCCCCATTTCCCGAAACCCATCCCTGAAACCGCCCTGAAACCTACCCCTCCACTAGCCCTGAAACCCTACTCACCCTCCACCACTATCAAGAACCCATCAAAATAGGTCGGGATCGGGGTCGGAGGGATAGCAGGGTCAGTGGTCGTTGGTGAGGGATGACAGAACGGGAAAGGGGAAAGGGAACGGGAAAGGGAGGAGAATTACGGGATTGGGGTTTTTTTTATTAATTTTTTTATTTAAAAAAATTATATTTTCAGACCAATAAAATGATGACACGTGTCCATATAACCTATTAATCAGGTTACCAACAGATTACAACTTGTTTAAAACGGACACCCCGCAAAGGTGGTATTATTTAGAGATAATCAATGTTAGGGTTTACTACTTTGATTCTACACAACTAGAATCAAATAACAATGGTGTACAAACCCTAGAATGTGTATAAAATTCAATTAAATACACAACATCAAATACTTAAAGTATTATCACAAACCAAGCACTAAATTAACAATATAATTCAGAAATTACAACAAGATAACACTAATGTAAAAGGTTCTTTACTTGCCTCTCTCCAAGCCGATATCCACCAAGAACATGAGAAAAACAATGACCACGTGAGTCTTCTATACCAGATACTTGACTAAGGCGTGTATACACTTTCCTAAAGTGATAATTTCCCTCACCACGGTGCTTGGGTTGAAACCGGAAACTCACTTTGAGATACAATAGTCAACACCACACTCTAAGCACAAAGATGTGTGATAAGATGAATAAATTCGCAATCAATAAACTTAATGATGGAGAAATTAAAGAAGAGTTTGCAAGATTCTTCAATAAAATTGTAGAGAGAAGAGAGAGTTTTTCAGAGAGGAATATTATGTTCTGTATTTTTTTTTTCTTTCGAAAACAACATCCTATTTAAAATAGAATCAATCGTTGCATAAAACCACAAAACGGCAAGAGGCGCGGGCGCTCCACCAGGAGGAGCGGGCGCTCCTCAAGGTGGAGCGGGCACTCCTCTTCTAGAATCCCAACTTTCTGATTTTCCAGAAAGTTGACGCGATTTTGTCGCGATTTAGGCGCGGGTCGCGCCTCCTAAACT